GTATGTTTTTACTCTCTTATCAGTATCAGCACCCAGACATCCTTATCAGTTGATCTCTATTTTATACATTTGACGTGCATGTGTCTTGCTTTTTCCCTGAATGCAGTTTTCCCTTTGGGCCGAATAAAATTAAAGTTAAAACTTAATAAATAAATAAATCCCAAGACAAAATCCGTTACACAATATCACAGAACCCAAAGTAGCATCTTCAGGTTTGTTTAACAAACAGTCGAAAATCCAAACATATTCAATTTCCCGGGACAGAAAATCCTCTGGTTCTTTCTCGATGAGCGAGTTCAATGACATGAAAATGCTTCTGTTGCTTCCCGGCTCCATCCTCAGCATTTTCTAATTACAGCCGGTATTCTAAGTGTGTTCAGTAATGCTTTGGAGTCATTGTGTGTGTGCATATGTGTGCTTTTGTGGAGCCATGAAAGAAAGGACCTGGCACTCTCCATGACAAAGAAGTGGGGAGTATACACAGCTAACAACAGAGTGAAAGAGAAAGAGAAGAGAAGACAGAGGCGAGATGAAACACAACAATACGTTTCTCCATCTCTCCTCTCGCAACTGCCGCTGACTTACAGGCCTTTCACCGCTGAGCCTCCTGATCAAAGAGAGAATTTGTTCAAAGCAACTTTATCTTAACCTCTCCTGCCTTGTTTTCCTCCGAACACAACCGCCCCCTCCTCTCGACTCCGCCAATTCACCGGTGCATGTGGTCCGCAGGTCTTCATGCAGTGGTGATACCAGCACAATGGAGCAAAGGGGAGGCAGGTCGCAGATCAAATGGTGACAAAGGCCACTAATGAGAGAGAGGCCACACACACACGCATGCATGAGTGGACGTGTTTTACAAATGCATGCAAGCATTCATCGATTCATTGATTACACATACGCACACATTAGTGGGAGCAATTGAGAACATGCCATGACACCACACACACACACACACTCAAGCAAATGGAGTGATAACAATGTAGCTTGGAATCCCATTGGGGCTCGATGCAGATTTCAAAGATGTTATTTCTCCAATGAGAACACAGAAAAGAAAAAAAGCCAATCACAAGCTCCCAGAGTTTCTGATAATGATTAAAATCATCAGTAAACAACCTTTCACAGACACAGCTGTATTCTATGTTTGCACATATTCTACGATATGAACACTTTTATTCAAGATAAGATAAATATATGTTATAATAATCAAACATGTTGACATTTTAAGGGAATCTGCTTATTTGCTGTCGAGTTAGGAGTATGCTAAAAGAAGACCTAGCAGTGTAGAGTGGCTCTGTTTATTTCAAGCTTGAGGTTGCAGTCTCCTCTGTAATCTTCATGTTTCAACAGTTAAAACAAAGCACTTGGATTATAGAGGTCCGACTGTACAAGCCATGCAACTCCCAACAAATCCAGACAGATCTGAGAGGAGGAAATGGTCTGTTTGACCTTGATAAACTTCACCGGCTTTATCTGAGTCACAGGCACAAACTGGCCAGTGTGTGTGTGCGCACGGAGAATAAACTTGATAAAGCTCGACTTTCTCCATCGCTGGCCCACACATGCGTGTGCACAGACACAGCGGCCCTGATAAACTCTTTTTATCAATCCAGTGACATTTACAGGTAGTCTCTGCTTTCTGCCCTTATCACAGTCTCTGAGCTGATCCAGACATCAATCCGCTGACAAGTAAAGCAGAGGGAACACCGAAAACCACAAGGTTACTTCACTGCGGCACGGCAGCTCTGGTCTAAAGAGCAGAAAGAAACCTTACAGATTGGGGAATAGATTCAGGGAAGGAGGAACATGTTAAATTGATCCAGTTGGAAATATGTAATTATTTCTTTTAGGCGATCAATGTTAGGTTTCCCATGGAGAAAACAATTCCGATTCCCATTTATTATACAGCAATAGATGACTGACTTAGAAACATAAACCGTGCCCTTTCCTTCGCTCCACATCATTCATTAAACTTGAAAGTTAAAGTTATATTTCATAAGATAATAAACTTCAAGACCTGCGGAAATTAACTCCACCAGGGACGATATGTTTTCACTCCTGTCTGTTTGTCGGCAGGATTTCACAGAAACTACTCAACAGATTTTACGCAGAACTTGGTGGATGGACAGGACGCGGGCCATGAAAGAACCCATTTAAATTGGGCATGGACAAAGGTGCATATTTAAGAATCTTTTTATCACTTCTTTAACATCAACATTTCACCAATTTGACAATTTGAGTGTGTGCAATTTGGTGCATATCCAGATAAAAATTCAGCTCTAGTGGCTTTAAATGTGTTGTCCTAGGGATGTAGGCTTTTCCCAGCCTCTGTAGGGCAACAAATGAGGCTCAAAACCTGTAACTACCCCAGACTTGTACACGATATAATGTGGATTGAGTAAGGAATCAATCATTTGTGTTTCTGCAAACTTTGTACAAATGAACGGATTTGGTGCAGATCCAGAGCTCTGGAACGGGGCATTGTTGACATTTTCACAAATTGTTTAAAGAATAATTCAGGGATCTGTATCCAAGTAAAAAGGCAGACCAAGCAGATTAAAAACGTTTCATTTTGTTTGTCTTTTTAAAATTTCTATTCATCATTCTTCTGCGATGGAGATCATGATTTTGTGATCTGGCTCAGCTATGAGCATTGAATGAATGTAAGGGGACTGTTGGTGGAGGTTCATTCATAATAGGTTAGCAGTGAATCCATAGAAATAGCGGCAGTATGTAGTAGTACTAATAACAGTATGTTATGATCACAGTATTATATGCTCTAGTTTTACTCTATATGCTCACGTCTAAACCAAACATTATCAGGGCACAGAAATCCACAGTGATTCAAAAACATGCTGCAGAGAGGTAGAAGCTCGATTTACTTCACTTTGACAACCAGGAATAAATGCTGGAAGTTTTTCTGGGAAGTATGTTCATCAAAGAAACACATTCAGTCGCTCTCCATAAATGAGGCTTAACTTCCCACCAGCCCGGCTTTGACAAGTGTCAGTCTTTGAGCTGAACACCTCGTAGTGGACTAAAAAAAGACCGAGCGTCAGAGAGAAGCACAGAAGCAGAGGAAGAGGGAGGCAGACATCAAAGCCCCTGAGTGACACTTAGTAAGAAGTACAATATACACACACGAAAACGCACACATGCTCAAAGCGGCTTCGCCTTTGTTCACAGACAAGTGAGTAAGAAAGAGGGCCAAGGATCAAACATATTTAGAAATGTACCACATGTGTGCTGCTCTCATTGTACACAAACCTACACATAAGT